TGGGTAACCCATTTAATGTGTTCGAGTAGCTTGCCAAGTCAGCTGAGAACATTTAAATCCCATCGCTAGGACACTGATGCCAGGGTTGCTGTTAGGAATGACTGCCTACCTTTATTCTATTGGAAGGAAAGCATTCAACCCTGCTTCCCCAGCATTCACTGCATACTGACTAAGGAAGAAACTCTCAGGCACTGGGGTTTTCAAAGACCCCACATAAGGCTTTGAAAGTGATATTGATGTTAGTACCTGTCATGCGCAATAGAATTACAGTCTAATGACTTGTTTCAAAACGACATATTGTGATTTTTTTCAAATCACAAAGATGACTGTATTCACATACTTACATGCTTGTGAGTATCCAGTCTATTTCAGATCAGCTAATACTATTAATTACCACTGTTTTCATTTTGGCCTTTTTTTTTTTTTATTCAGGGTTTCATGCCCTGGTTTTTGTTTTTACAATCTTTCCAAAGAATGAAACAGCTTAAACACGTTAAAGGATAAAAATACTCTCTCTGCCATTGCCTATTTGTTTTGCTGTGCTTCTTGCACTGTAGAATGAATTTTGTATGTGACCAGATTTAAAAGGCACAGCTTTGTGTTTTAACTTGGTAAAAGCTGGGTATTGACTTTGAAAAGTGTTAAGACATCTTTTAGCTTTCCAGTTTTATTTAAAATTTATGCATCAACCTTGTCAGGGAACCCCAAATGGCCCCCATGCACCATTTGAATCCCCCCTTTATTCAGAAGTCTCTCACCACGTGAGTGCTCCAGCCCTGCCTTCCCATAGTCCTCCAAGCCCATTGTCATCAGGTCGGTTCTGACTGATGGTGACCCTGTGTGTGACAGAACAGAATTACTCCACAGGATCTTCTGGCCATCATCTTTAAAGAAGCAGATCAACAGAGCTTCCTTCCACGGTGCCACTGGGTGGCTTTATGTGGCCACTTGTTACCCATTTATACCACTTGTGACCTTTTTAACCCTCAGCCTTACCCATCTCTGGGCCCATCTTTTACTCATTCTTTGCTACCACAAACATTTACTGAATCCCTGTCCTTGTGCCAAGCGTTGGTCTAGGGGACAGGGATGTGTTGGTGAATCCAAAGGGACCTTGTAGTTGTTATGTGCCACTCAGTCAGTGACCCTATCTCTGGACACTGCCCAGCCCTGCAGCGTCCTCATTTACTGCTGTACTTGAGCCCATTGTAGCCACTGCACCAGTCCATCTCTTGGGGGGTCTTCCTCTTGTCTTTATCAAGCATGATCTCCTCCTCCCGATCCCTCCATATACATCCAAAGTATGTGAGACACAGTCTTGCCATCCTCACTTCCAAGGAGCATCGGGCTGTACTTCTTCTAAGTCAGATTTGTTTGTTCTTCGGGAAGTCCATGGTACATTCAATGTTCTTCACCAACATCATCATAATTCAAGGCACCAGCTCTTCGTTGGTCTTTCTTATTCGTTGGCCAGCGTGCATATGAGGCAACTGAAAATACAAGGCTTGGGTCGGGGGCACCTTGGTCCTCAAAGTGACGTCTTTGCTTCATTTTCAAGAGGTCATTTGCAGCAGATTTGCCCAATGGAATACATTGTTTGATTTCTTGACTGCTGCTTCCAAGGGTGTTGATTGTCATCCAAGTACAATGAAATCCTTGACAACTTCAGCATTTTCTCCCTTCAGTGGTCTATTTGCTGGGATGTTTGTTTTGTTTAGGTTGGGGTGTAATCCATAATGAAGCTGTAACCTTTGACTTTCAACCATAAGTGCTTTAGGTGCTCTTCACTTTGGGCAAGCAAGGTTGTCTCATCTGTAGTGGCAGTTATAAATAATCATAATTATGCATGATAAAAGGATCCCTAGTGGTACAGTAATTAAGCAGTTGACTGCTAACTGAAAGGTTGTCAGTTCAAACCCACTAGCCGCTCTGGGAGAGAAAGTCTTTCCTTAAACATTTATAGCCTTGGGAACTCCATACAGCAGTTCTACTCTGTCCTAGAGTGTTGCTACAGTCAGAATGGACACCATAGCAGTTGGTATGCATGACAAATCTGTAATGGACAAAATACAAAGTAGAATGGTGGTAAAGGATTTAAATGTTTCATTTGACTTGGGGATTGGAGATGGACATTCTGAACTGGGCTCCTGGGTTGAACAAGGAGGAGGGTAGAGCTGGGTAAGTCTGGGTGGAAGGAGGTGGGGCTGGGGTGAGTCTGAGTGGAATGAGTCATGGGACTTAGTAGTGACCCCCCTTGGGCTTGTGCCTTCGTCTCCTACTCCCCCTCCTGAGCGTGTATCTACCGCAGGGAGCTGTATTCCTGTCATTAGCTAGACTGTCACTGCATGTTGAGTAAAGAACTTAGCTGGGCTTTCAACTTAGGAATAATGCACCTCCTCAGACCACGTGTCACCAGGCAGCTGCTTGTGGGTTTTGGCGCTCTTGTGTCTTGGGTGAACAGAGCTTTGGAGGGAGGAACGTGCATCCCTTCAGCTCCCTCTGTGTTCTTTTCTTGAGACTAACTGTGAAGCAAACTTTGGTTTTTTTGGGATGTTTTTCATTTTGGAGGGTGCTATTTCTCTCCCCTCAAAATTAATGTATTTGTAGCTAAGGGGGACAACTGAAGCTGTCAGAGATTGTATTTCTGAAGAGGTTCAAACTCTGGAAAGAAGATTACTCTAGAAAGAAGCCATCCAGCTAAAAGTCTCTCCATCCTTAAATTCCATCCTTAAGAACACATATCCCGTGTCAGAGGCCCCAGTAGAGGAAATGGTGGGAAAAAGCCTTTCGTTGTTGTGAAGTGCCATTGATTTGTTACCAACCCATACAGATCCTGTATCGGGTTTCCAAGGAGCAGCTGATGAGTTTGAACCGCCAACCTTGTGGTCCAGCACATTAGCCTGCAGCGCCACACCAGACATTTCCAATTATGACTAGGGTCACAGACACCCTAACTATCAAGTCAGTCCTCTGAAAGGACTCCTGAAGTGCTGCGGTGCGGCGGTGGGTTCTTGCTGTGGGTCTCAGCGTCTCTGGGGCTCTGCCCCTCACAGGCCCCCAAGCAGCACAGGGCCTTGGCCTGTGAGCACTGTGCATGAGAAGGGCCGCCTCACAGCTGCCCCTGCGGTGGGCTGCTTCAGCTGCAGGCAGTGTATCCTTGCGCTTGACTAACAGAGTTGGGGGCCAGGAAGTGCAGTCCCCTGCCACACACACAAAAGTGGTGGGTCCTGGCTGCTGGTGACCATTGGTAATATCTACCAGGCCACTTTCAAGAAGGCGGTCACCATTACAAGAGGTACAGTTGGTATGCTTGTCCAGTCAGTGTAGGGGGACCCTGGCGCAGGGCAGGAGCTCGTCCAAATATGTGGCCATCACCACTGGCCATGTGGGAGCCTCGCTCTCTCTGGCCCTTCAAGAAGCTACCGGAATGAGTGAAGGAGAGAAACATTAGAGGCAAATCTCAAATCTGCTCTGATATCTGAAAAGTCCGTTGTATCCAGTCTTAAGATGTCAGTGACAGATTCCTTGGTACACATTTCCCAATTGTTTTGACAGCCCAAAACACCCACGTCCAGTCTTTTCCCAGGTACTCAGGCTGCCTCTAGTTGAAGTCCTCTCACAAAGAGTTTGTCACAGTACACGTAGGGAGATGCAGGGCATCTACGGCCCATCATTGAGGTGGCTGGTACAGTTGGCATGATGGACAACTGGTGTCAGAACATAAGCCACGATGACACCTGACTCTGAAGTGATGCGCTGACAAGCATGCCACGTGAACAGATCCACTATGGGAGCGTGGTTCTTGGCATACAGCCCGTGTTTGATGGTAGCTGGTATGTGTTGAGCAGCTCCTTTGTGTCTCATATACATCATCTTATTTATTCCCAACACTAACAGGCTGTCATCCTGCCCTCTGTCCAGCATACATGGACACCTCCAAGCAGAGAGAGGCAGTGACTCCCCCAGGGGCAGACCTAGGACCTACACAGAGTTCTGTGTGGTGCTGAGACTGGACCTCTAATGATCTTACAAGGTTTGGAATCAACATCTAGAAAGTGATAAGTCCTAAACGAGAAACAGTTGACCTCAAATTAATAAACGTATACATTAAAAAAAACAAAAAGGTGCGCCAACTCCCTGAGCACATTGAGAAAAGGTGATTCCGCTGTTGCTGATGAGACCAGGAGGCTCACCCACCCAGACAGGAGCTGTGCCTACTGGGCTGTGGCTGTGAGAAGGCAGCTCAAGCCTAGTCCTGTGGTGGTTCTGAGGTTATATCTTCATGACAAGGCCAGAGAGAATGCTGTCTAGTGGACACTTTGCCCATCTCCCATGAATCAGTGTGAGCACACCATATTGAGACCTTCCAACTCTTCCGGGGCTCCTAATAAAACCCCTACACAGATCATCCAACACTGCCTGGCACGTAGGCACACTCTGGTCTGTCTGCCATTCAGCAAATGGAGTCAACACCCACCAGGCTCCTCCCTGCTCCTTCGCTCAGCCGTGAAGGTTCTGACTGCATTCATTCATCTACCCAGCGGCAGCCTTACCTGTGAAGGCAGCACATGACCCTCAGTGAGAGGGACTGCATGCCTGGGAGGGTAACAGGTCAGGGCAGGCTGCTTTCCAGATTCGGAGTGGAGCTTTGTGGTTAAGACCCAGTAGAGTTCTACTTGGAAGAAGGACAGAGACGGGTTTCATATCTCCTGCTTGGTAGCT